TGAAAATCCTTTAACTCCTCATCTAGAATTAAAACGAAGAAGCCTCTCAGTACCAGTGTAGGGCTCTTAACTGCTGAGTCAGTGCTAGATCGAATCCTCTCACACTTTGAGAAGCCACAGACAGAGAGAAGACAACCAAAGAGCACGAGCTGGCAATGTTGTCTACACTAGCATCAACAGCAACTTAATTAGAGATAAACTACTTGTATAGCGCCTCATAAAGTTAGCACCTAGTAAAACTTCCTCCAGCGAGCTGCCATTATCATCGGCTTGTTATGTCCAGGATGCCAAACGTTCCCGTCTGTAGAGGAATACACAGAACATCAGAGGCTATGGAGCATCCTGGAGGGAGGTGCCATCAAAGGGGTGACGAGATGGCCCTTCCTTTTCAAAGGCACCACCTTTTACAGTAGAGGCTGGAAGAGATGAAAGGCTACAGGGGCCTTTGCACTATGGATGCTAAACTAGATTCAGCTACCACTCACATTCTTGCCAGTTGGCTAGAAGCCCGGTTTGTGGCAAGAGAGACACATTTTCTACTCTATTCTATTCTCTTCTGTCTAAACTTACCTCCGTAAGCATCAGACTGTTGCTGTAAATAATTACTTTTTACATAAGTATGACCATGTTTAACTAATTATCTCGGCCTCAGATCAGTGCGTAGTTCTCTACTCAGTCGCCTGCTGTGGACACAAGAGGTAATACCAAAAAATTTAAAACAATCAACCCTTCGAACCTTAGGCTTTTTACTCAGTAATTAATATAACTTAATAATCTGTAGACTGCTTTCAATTATTCAGTAACTATTATGAAACTAATAAGTAAGTTAGGAAGTTATGAGAATGAAGAACTGAAATGCAGGCCTACTTATGGTTCTTAGGGTTTAAGTAGTCAGTTTTATATCACTCTCAGAGGACGCATGAGGCAATATAAAAAGTAACGGCAAAGGTAAGATAAGGAATAAGTATGTATGCTGTGTTAAAGGGGAATTCCACTGATTTCCCAAAATCTCTGAATAATTTCCTTGTTGAGGTCTAAACAAAGTCTTTCAGAGTGGTTTGATGTGAAATGATTCACGGTAGAGAAACATACTGGCTCAGATTTCTTTAAAGTGGTGTTGATAGGAACCAGGGGTTAAAAATAGCCATTTCATTTACTATCCAGAACAATATTAATAATCCAGAACGGTGGTAAATCTGAAAAAACATTTTGGTACAATTTTGCCTCATAACGCCCTGCATGTCAAATACAAACCTTATCTAAAACGGTAAAACAATGACTCAGACACCAGGCAGCGTGTTCCGAATCATTTCAGGTAATAGCTTCCTGTGTGGTAGCTTCAGGCTTCTGGTTCCCATCACCACTGTGAACAGTTCTGGTTCTAGTTTCTCTGGAATGGAGCACTTCAATTCAGACCACTCTGAATGTCTTTGGTTACTTACTGACAAATTAAGTTTGAAATTCTGAAAGAAACGGTGGCATTCCCCTTTAAGTGTCCAAGCCAGTAATTAAGTCACAGTTGTCTGTTGATTGTGTTGCAGTGACACTGGTGGAGATTACGCAGTGGTGCAAAAAGGAGTGTAGATTTGACCACCTTTAATGAAGTACAAACTACTCTGCGCCTGATTAGTAAAACAATAGGGAAACAAGTAGAGAATGAAACGCAGATGATGAATCAGCTTCAGTGCGTGAAATCAAGTGTCAGACTATCAGTACCTAATTTACATATCATTTACATGAAGCACACCCTAATTCATGCAGTTTTGGTAGGAAGCCAATAAAATGACAGCATTCAGTGGCTCATGAGCCAATGGCTGTGTATGTAGGGGGAGTTTGAGGTGGAGCAGTGAGTGCACTGCGATCCCTACTGACCAAACTTTGTAGGGCTAAAATTACAACACATGGAAAGAATAAAATGTGAAATAAACAAAACTACAGATGGTAGAATGATGTGATGGTGTAGTGTGATTATTTTCCTAAAATAACATATTTATATGGGGTTTTATTGCAGTGTATGAGATGCTTCTGCGCTAGCTGTGTTTTGTTTGTTTATTTTTTAAAATTAGTGTCATAAGTATAAAACAAAAGCACAGTGTAATTTGTCTTTAAATGGAACATGGACTAATTGCAGTTTTTGTTTACACCAATGTGCATGTAAAACAACTACATCTACCTTTGTACCTACCTTCTACAATCTACCATCTACCTTGGACTGCCATGTGCACACATTATTAGTATTGTTATTTTCTGTTTTAATTCTTATTAGTAGTGTTATAATTGATACATACAATAGTTTTGCTTAGTTAACTGCAATTCAAGTTTTTATTTCAGGTTGTTAAAATATTACACTTAACTTTACACACTTTTACCAGACGTGAGTTTGACAAACTGAGAATGACGCTGAGTAAGGATAACAAAACTGTTGGTAAAATTTACCTGCACACATTTTACCATCAGATTTTAATGTACAGCTTAGATGAAGAAGGGTCAATTTGCTTGGTTTGCTAACATAAAATGGCCTATATCACATGGCCTTGGAAAGTCGCATATAAATGACAGATGAAATAAAGCTCTAGTTGAACGTTTGCCTTGTCCAATGCTCAGACACTGGGAGGCCAGAGATCCACAGAGTGAGAAAGTAATGACACCCACAGGGATCTATAAAAGAGGCAGGGATAAGATAAAGTCTCGACGAGTCCCCTTAACAGGAAGAAACAGTGCAGCTATAACTGTACACAATACAATACTGGAGACTATTATCAACACTTGACATTTTAAAGTGACTTTGTGGAACTCAGTGGAAGTAAATGGTGCTTATTCTCTCTCTCTCTCTCTCTCTCTCTCTCTCTCTCTCTCTCTCTCTCCCTCTTTCTCTCTAACCTCTGCTATCTTTACATGCAAGGGGGCAGCGTGCAGGAGCCTCTGGTGACTGGCAGCTTTCAGAAACAGATCACCAATGAAAACAACCGTCACCATGACTCCCACACCATGGTGAAGGGAATTACAGTGCCATGGAAACCGCATCAACTGCCCACTTGCCCCCCAGCAGGAAAAGAGGGCCCAAAGGAAGTGACACACAGGAAGTGACACACCAAGCTATGGCTTGCATTTCACACATGTAAATGTTCTCTCAGGGGCTTTGTCCTTACTCACATCACCATGGCAGCATAATACTCTAATCTCCCATCACCTCCTACCGGCAACGTGACCATGCTGAAACAGCCACTACAGTAAGCGGATGGGTAATTGAATACTCATCCCTGGATTCACTGACTGCATTTATGCGAGCGGAGCAAAAGCGCGAGGCTTTAATATGCTGTTTTGTCATATGAAGCGGGTTTGATATATGAATTATGCAGGCAGCTGCTGTGGAGGCTTTTGGAACAGCAGGAGCCAGTCTGTGAGAAACAAAGCATTAGCGCTGGATCCGGACGTCTCATGGCTCCCACAGGCAGCCAATCAGGCAGGAGAACTCCCGCTTAAATTAGCGTAGCTCTTTAGAGAAGGTACCCCTCGGATAATCGCCGCAGGGAGACCGTGCCGCCTGACAACTCTCTCCACCTGAACAAGTAACAGTCGAAACTTAGCCTTACTAGATTTCAAACCCAAACCTGTGACCTAAACCCAGAACATGGTGGCTAAAGCTACATCTCATGTGTCTTTGCTCTGATGCTGCATTTACACTGCTAGAGGATGTCAACACACTGCAATGTATCCCTTTCGTTTTCAATGGGGCGCTTCGGTTCTGTCAGACGCAGCCATGTGGCACATAATAGATCCGGCACACCAAGTTAGCGGGATGCTGTGCATCGAAACACTAGGCGGATCTGAACTTTATGTGAACGATTTCGGCCAATGCAATGTGTGTACCTAATCAGGAGGCAGCTGGTGTTTGTGTGATTCATGTCTGTGGTTCAAGGTATGAAACAGTGGTTCCGTTTTTAAAATGATTCCGTTTGTGAGAGAGAAGACCAGCAGCAAAAATGAAAAAGCGTTTCACTCTGATATTTAAAATCCGAGCGAGACAACAATCGGTTGGATGATAATAAACCAAAATGACTGACATTGATTGCAAGTGGTAAATAACAACCTAAATCCTAATCTGTCCAAGTTTAACCTTTTAACATTTTGGAAAAAAAAAGTTTATTGCAGCATACTATGTTGATTCTGACTATTCAAAAAAAGGCATTACTTACATTGACTCTGCAAGGTTATAATTCAATTGGATTTCACAGGGTAAGTAAAAGTTGAAGTAAAAGAGTTCAGAATGGTCACTAATGGCTCTTTAGTGGTATTTAAAATATTAGACATGAAAATGTGAATTAATTAAAATGTGAATTAATGGAAGTTTCTAATCTGATGCATCAATGGTTCACTCTGGCAAGTGTGCTACAGGTAATATAGCGCATGATTTACAAACAATGTTTTAAAAGATCATTTGTGCGCAAATGTTGGGAACACATTTGGAGTCAAATTCTAGAACGTTTTGTAAATGAGACCCCTGATCTCGTTATTAGAGGCATATGGACATTTAGATATGTGTGGACAGCTTAAACCATTTGTGGACTGTTTACCATCACTTAAGCTCTTTGTAATACCAAGATACCATAAATACATTAATGAATGAATAAAGAATGACGCAGTTGATACTCCTTCAGCACAAACGATAATTCCGTAATCTCAGTGTGGACTTTTAACTCCTTAAACTGTGTAATTATTCAGTTATTAATTGTAAGTCTTATTATCCAGAAACTACTATGTAACAAATTATTATTATTATTAAATTATGTGGTTACGAGAATCTGGGACTGGAGTGTAGGCCCACATGTGAGCACTCCCAGTTTAAAAGGTTAATATTCTGTCATGTATTTGAATGTTATTCAGAAGTTTTAAAGTTTGTCTTTGTAATTAAATAACCTTTTCCAGACACCATAAACCTGAATGCTTTAAAGATAACATAGAGTCTAGGATCAAACAGAAATGGTGGAGAGTGCGCGTACCAGTGAGGGCGCAGTCTTCGGCTGAGCCGGTGGAGTAGTTGGCGGGGCTGATGGGGGGGCTGGCGGGTGGGCTGGTGCTGAAGCTAGCGTAGCCCAAAGACGAGCTGACCTCAGATGGCTCTCCGCTGTGGTTCTGCACTGGCCGCTGCACGTCCTGAGACGAGGACAGAGACGTACGCTGCTTGGGCTGCAAGAAAGAAGAGCCGACTTAAAATAGAAGTGGAGGGAAATCGCAAGCAGATAAACTGCTACTAGAGATTCTACACCACAGCATGTTGATAATTTAGACAGTTTTTAAGTTATTCAAGTTTAAAGACAATGTGCTGTGTCTTACACGGTTAACATGTAGTTATGACCGACCCCTCAGACTCTGTGGTTCACACCTGTGTACTTTATTAGCATGAGATTAGTGTTTGAGGCCTGTTATTACCCTGCCCTTAATTCTGCCTTTGCATTATTGAACAAGGCACTTAAATCTTAGTAGTAATCTGAGGAGCTGTATTACCGGTAATTGTCTGTCTCAGGAGATCAAAGCTTGTGCTAAAAGATAGCAAAGAGCAACAGTATGATAACTGGACTTCTAGTGAACGTGAGTGACACATGGGTTGACGCTAACATTTAAAGATGGCACTTTCAGTTTTCAGACACCGACACTGAAATCATGAGTTTCAGCTGATGCTCATATAGATCCAATATTTTACCTTTAAAAACTAAATGAGCATCTAAAAGTAGGCTATCATGCTTAAACTACTGAAACACTCTACAAGCCCATAGGCAGAAATATACACACTGTGCGAGTGCTGTTTCTGAACAGATTTGTTACAGGATTGGATCAGATTCATTCTTTCTTATGTCTGATATTCAATCCAGCATTTATGCTGATATTGGCTCCGTACTAAAACCCACTGATACTGATTTTTTGTCAGTCTTTGCTCTCATTTTTTTCTATTTGCTTATTTTGCTGATGTACTATTTTGCTTCTGGATTTGCTCTTTTGCTCCTGAAATATTCCTGACTTTTGGCACAATTTCACAGACGGTAGGTCTTAGAAGAGGGCGTTCACATGCACTCTCTATCGGTCAACTGATTGGAACACTCCATACATCTCTTATAACCAGTGCACGAAATACCTCCTGGTATTTGGAGGGTCTCATGTTGGCTGGCTGCTAACTCACCCTAACTGCAATGGTAGCAAAATGGTTTAACAATCCTCTTTTAGGAAATGCTCTTTTCTAGTTTGGCAGTGCAGTCAGATTTTACACATCTCCTCTTTTGTCTTCAGTTTGAGTAATTAGCAATAATTCACTCTTTACACCAGTCTCTTGGGAAATCGGGCAAATTTTTAGAATTACAATATGCTGTATTGCAAAGTTTTTCAGAGGAATTCTTGGCATAGTTACAGTTGCTGAGCTACGAAGGACCTGGGTGAACCAATTTGCTACAACCCCAACCATGAGGCAGACCAGTGCTGCATCTCTAGTTATTTAAGAATATCAAAGACAAAAGCTCGTTGATTGTAGGTGACGCAGCTAAACCGTGACCTTACCATGAATTTGTATTTGAGCTTCTATCTCTCTCCTAATGGACAGCATAACATCACAATAAGTTTATTTTTAGCAATCCCCCTGAAATTTGATATTAAGACATTCAAGGGGTCCAGGAGGTTAATTCAGAGTTCCTGGAAGGGCTTGATGTAGAAGTCATATGAACACTACAGTAAAGTGTTAACAGTTGTCATCAGTACTCGTTCTTGGCATTGTAGCTTGAAGTTACCAAACTGCCTTAAAATTTGATGAATTTGCTAAAGTTCTTGTTCTCTTAACTTACTATTAAAAGTTAAATTAGCTCTAAATTTTAAGGCTGCCCTGTAAAGTGTTTAAAATTAAAACACAACATATTTAAAGTGTATGGAGGGTGGGGTGGCAGAAAAATGACACAAATGTAAAGTCAATCAGAAAATTTCAACATCATTACACCATTCCACTCCCACAGTTCTGCTGCACTAAGCACACCTAGCTATGGAAACTGTGCTGAGCATGGTCAAACTGTCAAACTGTGTCCCGTTGGAAATGCCATGGGAACAGATACTCTTCATCTGCATAAATGTTTGGCTCTAAGGTGGAAAAGAGTCTATTGTGTTTTGTTTGTGTGTAGGGGGGTGGATGGGTGTGTGAGGGTGCTCATGCATGTTTGTAATTGGTAAGCATTTGATAGGGGGGCTGCCTCTGTGCTCCTTAAGATAATGCATTTAATTTGCTTGCCAGGATTACCTTTCCTATTGAGTAAACACAGAGAGGACATACAGCACAGTGCAAAGCACACACACACACACAAGCAGGCACATTAATGCCAGAAAAGCTTCATATCATGGTACAGCAAGCCCATTTCTCCAGGACAATGTGAAACGGGTGAGGCCTTGCTGCTTGGTGGCGCTGAGTCACAGCCGCTTGCTGTGTTTGAAAAACATGATGCGCTGCTGCACACACAGGCAGAATGTGAAATAAAACACACTGCTGCAGAATTGTGTATCTGTGGATGAGAGAAGCAGCCGTGAAAAAGCCTGTTAGTGGGAGTTTGGGTGGATGTGCGGTTAGAGAGAGAGAGAGAGTGAGAGAGAGAGACAGAGAGAGAGAAAGAGAGATATGATGGTGATGACTGTGTGCAGTTGTATAACCACAGGAAGTCTTACATAAGCATCATCTTCACTTCCTGTTGTATCACAGGTGTCACATTAATTAATTTGTGAGAAATGCTTTGTATGTGTGTGTGTGCATGTTTCAGAATTACACAACCTGTTTCTCTCTCACACACTATTTATTATTTTTAAAAGGCAGCGAGAGAAAGAGAGAGGCACAGAGAGAGAGAGAGAGAGAGAGAGAGAGAGAGAGAGAGAGAGAGAGAGAGAGAGAGAGAGAGACTGGATGCATCATTAAGGTCAGAGGACTCAAAAACTCCACATTCTAATATTTGCAGTCTTCAGAATGTCCAGAATAGACAAGACACAGGAACCACTGTGAATACTGAGAAGACTCTATAATGTGAATGAAAGAGAACACTCTAGAACACTGTGAATGGGGGTGGGGCATTCTAGGACAGTGTGAACAGAGGAGATCGTCACTGAACAGTGTGAATGGGAGAGAACTTTCCAGACATGATTGGGGAGAACATGCTGGAACAGAGTGAATGGGAGAGCTTTCTAAAACAGTGTGATTGGGGAGAACATGCTGGAACAGTGTCACTGGAAAGAGCATTCTAGAACAGTGTGAATGGGAGAACTTGCTGGAACAGTATGACTGGGTGAGCATTCTAGAACAGTGTGAATGGGGAGAACATGCTGGAACATTGTGAATGAGTGAGCATTCTAGAACAGAGTGAATGAGGAAACATGCTGGAACAGTATGACTGGCCGAACATTCTAGAACAGTGTGAATGAGGAAAACATGCTGGAACAGTATGACTGGGTGAACATTCTAGAACAGTGTGACTGGGGTAAACATGCTGGAACAGTATAACTGGGTGAACATTCTAGAACAGTGTGACTGGGGTAAACATGCGGAAACACTGACTGGGAAGAGCATTCTAGAACTGTGTGATTGGAGAGAACATGCTGGAACAGTGTGAACAGGGTCAAAATCCCAGCGTGAACAGAGAACATCATCCTGGAACAGTGTGACTGGGGGAGAATATCCTTAAACAGTGTCAATGGAGAAGAACATCCCTGAATAGTGTGAATGAGTGAAAACATTCTTGAACAACATGATGGGGAGAACATGTTGGAACAGTGTGAACAGGGTGAACATCCTAGAACAGTGTGAATGGAGGAATAACATTCCAGAATCGTATGAATGGAGGAATAACATTCCAGAACAGTGTGAATGGGGGAATAACATTCCAGAACAGGTGAATGGAGGAGAACCTTCCAGAAACAGTGTGAATCAGGGAAAACATTCTAGAACAGTGTGAAGGCAGGCATGGCAGAAAGGCACGGCAGTCCAACCAAACGATTCTATTGGTGTCTGTTAGATTGGTGTGCTCTGTCTTTAAACATGACAATATCATCTCTCTTCTTCTCCTTTATGTAACCTAATCTAATCCAATCTAAGCCGGTGGTCCTACCACATCCTGCTGCTGCCTTGTCTGAACATCTCAGTCCGCCTCACATCAGTTCTCCTCTCCTGTCCAGACTCTAATCCTCCACAGAAAGCACGGCTAAACTCAGAGTGACCCCAGCCAGAGCCAGCCCCAACACCACACACAGCCCGCTGGCTCATCATCAGGACTGTCAACCTTACATCTGCTCTTTTACTGATGTGACTGACCAATTTAAACAGTCTATTTGCTGATGTCACATGATTTTCACCCCTATTTTGATGTTACAAAGTGCTGAAAATGGAAAAAAAAAGAACATGTCCTGGTTACCTGTTGCTTCAAACCATCATTCTCAGGCTCTGCAGCAAGGAAATTACTTCTGTGTTCTAGCTTTAGCAACTGCATCACAGCTCTGCACATCTTTCATACCACCAGGAGCAGAAGCAAATGATTTTCCGTGCCACGAGTACGCACAGTATGCAATTTTGCTGTTATCTTTCTCTGTATGGTTTCACTGCATAAAGCCAGAGTCCTGCACAGCTATAGCCTGTTTCTCGTTATCAGGGTGTGATTATATATCAGTCGTATTCTGATTGGTGGTTGAAAATGTGCTGCATGATTCCATGGAAACTAACTTTTTAGCCAGTGGAATGTGGAGTAGCACAGTAAACGGCTGTCTCTGCTTTCAATGAGCAAATCAAAGGTAAATTGTTCTTATTTATTCAAAGTAAAAATAAAATAGGCTTCAATTCCTTTAGCTTTACAAATAATACTCTAGAGGCTTGTTTGCATAGCTGATCATGAGTGTGCAGCACCCACTGATGCTCCACTGCTGCACATCCTCCTAGGCCAACAGCAGACCCATAGCACTGACCTCCTGATACAGTAATGTGAGTTAACGACAGTTTTTCCAGCCTGAGCTGGTGTCTGGGGGCAAAACATCCAGTGCTATCCACAGAGATTTAGCAAAACAGCACACAAACACAGACCAAAATAACAATAATAGAGAGGACATTGCTTCAGCAATTTTTGGATGCAACTTTCCTCTGTCTGGAGGCTGTCCAAATTCTTATCAGTGGTAGGACAAAGATTCATTGA